CCCTGCCACCAGAACCTCCCTGCCACCAGAACCACCCCACACCTCTGCCTAGAGATCTTCACTTCCCCTTAGGATGATCCACTCGTCATCAGCATGAAATGAGACCTCTGGGGCTTGTTCCTCAAAGGTCTTCCTCAGGGACAGAGATGTTCTCCAGCTCTGCTGGAAAGGGGCTTTACCTGCAGCTGGCCCCTGTTCTAGGGGAAGTGGATCCCACCCCTCAAAGAGGACACAGGAAGATGCATGCCTGAGATGGCTGCAGCTCAGATGGCCAGTATGTGGTGAGCATGGAGGGTAACAGACCCCAGGTCTTGGTGTGGGAGATGCTGAACCACATCTCCAGATGCTGCTCCCACCTCTGGGTCCTCGGGGAGCCAACACCACAGCAGCAGGGAGCACTGCCCTCCCCTGCTCCAGCAGCAAGCCTCAGCCCCACGTTTCTCACTCACAAGCACACTTTCCTGGAGACAGAGGAGTTTGGAAGCTGAGAGACTGGAGATGAAAAGCAAGAGCAGCTCCCAGCAGGTTCATCCAGAGCCCTGCTGTGGGGGGTGCTCGGGGCCAAGCTCTGGGGCCATGCAGGGCTGGCACTGAGGGACACAGGGGTCTCCCACAGGACGAGGCTGTGTCACTGACTCCTAGAGGGTGATCTCCCTGGGCAGGACTGTTGTTTAACCCTCTCCTGCAGCTCGTCCTCCCTGGGCAGGACACAACCACAGAGCACGAGTGGCAGCCACCGGCCCGAGGCGTGCCCACTGACAGGTGCCACAAGCCCCATCTGGTCCTCTGGTGGCTTCTGAGGGTTTGAAGAGTTAAGATGACATCATGCACACCTCTGAACAAGCACTGGCTGCGCTGGGTACTGCAGCAACCAAATTCCTCTGCAACACTGAGACAGGAGACACCGACCTTCCCGGTGCTAACTCAGCTTCTCCACAGAAACATCTGCCTGGGATCGTGTCTGCTGCCACCCAGGTGGACTTCCCAGAGGTGCTGTGATGCAGAGATAAGTCTTTCCCCTGCACATCCAGCTCTGCCTGGATCCTGGAGAAGGAGGAGGATTCCCTCCAGCACCCCGGGGCAGGGGAGGAGACGGGGTCAGAGCAGTGCTGGAGGAGCAGGTGTTGCCCAGTCTGGAGGACTGACACCTGCCTGCCTGTGAGATCAGACCTCCTGGGGAGCTCTCTGGGAACTATTTCTGTTTCTGCAGCAGTGCTCATTCCCATTCGTGCTCATGTTCACCCTCTGCCAGCACTGCCTCAGGATGAGACTTCACACCAGCCCCACGGAGGGGCTGGCAGCACCTGCTCCCCCCCCAGCACCCTGCAGCATCACAGAATCAGAGAATGGCTGGGCTGCAAGGGACCCCCAAAGGTCAACTAGTCCAACCCCCCTGCTATAAGCACATCTCCAACTAGATCAAGCTACTCAGAGCCTCATCAAGCCTGACCTAGGGATGGGGCCTCCACCACCTCTCTGGGCAACCTATTCCAGGGATCCATCACCCACATATTAAAGAACTTTTTCCTAACATCTGACCTAAATCTACCCTTTTCTAGCTTAAAGCCATTGCCCCTTGTCCTGCCATCAGCCATAAGTGGGTGGTTTGAAGATGTTGGTCTCTACCTACAAATTTTAAAACACCATGAAGGGGCTGAGGTGCCAGGGGCATGGGGAGGGTCCATGTGCCAGCCCCAATTCCAGCTGCTGGCATGGGGAGGGTCCATGCGCCAGCCCCAATTCCAGCTGGAGGCATG